TTAAGATTAAATATCAAAAAACTATATTCCATGTACACGCATTTAAAAGAAGATATGATTACTTTCATGATCCTCGATATATCTTCTTCTTATTCTTCTGGTAATCTTCAAAAGGCGTTGTAGCCTTTCACGAAGATGAACTAATATAGGATTTCTCGGTCACTTTCGTAAGCTTTTCATTCGTTTTGATACAAAGTTCATTCAAATTCGCGAAATAAAGCTGCCGGCGTGTTAATTACATTCAAAATAACACTTTTTTCATTTGATTTACTTATTCGGTCAATGGATTTAGCACTTTTTTCGTTCAATTTAACAACCGCTTACAAATGCGCAGTTTGCATTCATTTTCGTCAACAATGGCAAATCGGACGTCCGTACCATTCAATTTCACTTTGGGTCATTCTAAATAACAAAGTTTTCATTCATATTCGCCTATATTTAGAAACCTATGGTAAACATGGTATATGCACATGTTTCTCATCTAAATTAAACAAATGAGTTATATAACATGCCTAGATGTCTTGCCCGTCAACATGTAGAGGGTTAAACAACTCTAGATATAAGATTGGACATCATCTTACTGATGTTCTCATCACGGACTTTATCGTACTCGGTCATCTTTTGGAAGTGATATTACGTAGACGAACATGGTAATGTAATGCATGATGTAACTATGATCATTAACATTATAACCAAATCAAGATTTCATATTGTATACGTGTATTCTTTAGTTTATGTCCACATGACATGAGTTATTGAGATGTGCGCGCAGTGAGAATACAATGTATCAAACTCATTAATGATTGTGTAGCGTGATCGTGATTGTAATTGAGATGGTGATTACGATTGTGACTGAGATGGTAATTGTGACTGTGATCACGATCGTGATTGTGATTCAGTGTGATGGTGATTCAGATTTTGATGTGATTATGAGTGTGATTTAACTGATACTCATAGATTGTTCTTAACATGTTCAATACAGACTAAATATAATAACACAAATATAAATGGCTTCAAAGATATTACGAACATCGAATAAATTATCCAAAAAAAAAAAAAAAAAAACATTACAAATAAATCAATGTATAGAGCATTTATACCTGCCCCCCCCCCCCACCATTATGGTACGCCACTCCAATAAATACAACCGTAGTCTGTAAACACACACTATGCATGCACTTATATCATTGCATATTCATAAAAAGACACTCTTGCTTATAGTTCCATGCTTATTCTATATTGATGTGGCTAGGTTTTTATCTACTTAACACATGATCGTTCAGTTGCTAAATGGTGATGATTTAGAGGGTATACATAATTATACACCCATAGTGAGGACAAATAACATGTTTGTTGCTTACCAACCCATACAATTTGAAATGGATTTAGCATGGAACTAAGCTTGCGGGGTTCTATATAATCATACTGGGTAAGATTTACATGTTTAATTTGTCTGCAAAACGTGTGAAACTGTATGCAAAGAAACGAATTTGAATTCACGGAAGACGCTATTACGTAATCGCGAATCGTTCCGCTTTAAATTGAATGAAAATTTTACGAAAAAGAAACACGTTTTAATTCGAATGAAAATGAAATGTTTTTGAATGATCGTTTTAGGAATTTAAATGCTAAAAAACGAATTTGAACGAAAAATAACAGCTGCGGTGACAGAATCGGCGAAATTGAATGAACATAAAATGAATTTGTGTGGCCAACTTACGAAAGTGACCGAGAAATCCTATACTAAAGATTACAAGTGGTGTTGCATTTTAATTTTATTAAAAAATGATAAACTTATGTCTATCTGATAGGGCCTTTTTTGAAGAGAAGAGTAAAGGTTTAAATGTATTTCCAATTATTTTAAAAGTAATTTCCAATTTATTTTAAGTTATTATTTGCTAGACTTTTGTGAACAAAAGTTTGTTAGATATAATGTAATATTTAGGAAAAGTACCTTTGAGTACATCTTTTAATATGCTGAGAGAATAAACTGTAGCAACACCATAGTTTGTCACCTAAATAAAAAGCTAGAGAATAATTGAGAATTACAAGATATAATGCAACACAAGATGACAGTTCCCCAAATCTTTGTATATAGTCCAAGTCGAGTGTGGTGTTCGCATGGGCTTAGATAATATAGAGTAAAGTACCCGGTTTTCGGCCACTTAAGACAAAATCCTATTTATTGGACTCTTTACTTCCTATTTATTATCATTTCTTGTTCAAATCATGAAGCAAATATTATTATTATTTAAACAAAAAAAGAATCCCAAAAAAAATCACGAATTGCCATGACAATATTCATTTCAATTTTCACTGTTTTGGAGCCGGTTATCGGCCGAGCGTTTCAGTTTACGGCCGCATGTACAAAGTCAATAGGAAGCGCTCGCGCGCGCCGTGCGTTTCTGCGCTGATGTATAGCACAAGCGGGCGGAGCAGGTATCCCACGCCGGAGCTCCCGGGTGCTCGCCTGACCGAATACAGGCACAGCGGTGATCGGAAGTTGGAATCTGAATTAGACAGACATATCGTGTGTGCGTCGCGGTGTGCGGCTGCATTGATTTAATACATGCGATGAGATACTTTTGAGCTTGCGACCAGCACAAAATCGGGCTCTATATCTGAAAAATACTTGAAATAAAGCTCATTTTATGGTACCCATATTTCTTACATACACGCGTAAGAAACTCGATTTTTCAGATTTGGGTAGCGGGACCGCCGATTACATCGCTAAAATGTGATATTTTAGGATATATTTTTCATTGCAAATGTGGTTCTTCAGTGACACTGGCATGGTATGGTATGTGTGGGATATGTGTTATGCTATTATGCGATGTATTTTAAAGTGATTTTACCATGTATCCAACCAATTGGCCGAAAACCGGAGCTGACCGATTACCGGGTACTTTACTCTACAGCCTGAATATTTTCGAACTTCATACAAACATACCTTGCCAAAGTTCAACTTAGGTCTTAGGTGTCCTGTTCCTGATTAGATACATTTGTTGATCAGGTCCTGGTGCTCTTTGTTGCACTTCTGTGATCATTATCTGCTTCTTTGTTCCATAGCATCTACAATTAAAAGAAAACAGAAACTTAGTAAGGTTCCTGCTAATATCATAATGCATGCATAAGTTATCTGTTTATAACTTTGTTCATGTCCTTTAGAGAAAGAAATATCCATGTCATATGTAGGGTTGGATCCAGAATTCTCACCAACATAAAACTAAGGAGTGGCATAAAATCCTGAAAATAAACTAATTATTTCAAACAAGGCACAATGACATAACTAAGAGCGAAATCAGGGGAAGTGGGAGGTGGGGAGGGGGGGGGGGGGGGAGAGACACCTTTTTTGTTTTGTTTTTGTTGTCGTTGGTAGATCTAGCCTAGATCTACATTCAAACTAAGCTGAATCTGGACCTGGATCACAATAATGACACATGTGCACGACTAGTCTAGTCTAGTGAATCAAAAACGAGCCTAAACCCATGGCTTTGGAAGTCTTTGCTACAAGCTATAGATCTAGATCTAATTGCCTATTTTTAATATTATTAGTAGGTGGCTCTGGACCTAGATCTAGACCCGTCCCTATGGCTATGCCACATCTTAAAAAGGGGGCACAGAATGATTGTGCACCCCCCCCCCCCCCCCCCCCTCCATATTAAACTTCCACATTGATCCACCTAGATCTAGAGGAAATCTACATCAGGCATTTAGATCTATTTAGAATTTTTTGTTAGAGTACATTAGGCCTAGAATCTAGCCCTAGATCTAGGCCTAGATCTATACTAGATTCGGGGTTAAATGCTGTTTAGGTCTAGAATTCTATAGACTTCTAGATCTACTTAAGACAGTGCAACTGCTAGATCTAAAGTTAGGCCTGCATAGCCCGAATTTTTCTGTCTCTTTCGTTCGTTAGCCTCCGATTTGGGTAGGGTCGGCTAAAGAGAGGAGCCGACCCTACCCAAATCAGAGGCTAACGAACGAAAGAGACAGAAAATTCAGGCTAGAATATGCTATGAATACTAGTCTAGATCTAGGCTTTACTGTAACACTAACACACTGTAAAGTCATAGCCGCGCCAGCTCAGGAAACGCAGTCGCTTCTTGGTGTTTCAGCCGGCTAGCACCGGCGGATTGAAAATCACATTCTGCTCGACGAGATCTCATCGGCTTGGACTAGCAATGAGCCATTTGCGCAGTCTACAACGTCAACAGATCCACATCTACGACCGATTACTATCGGTAATCAAGCTATGAACGGAACTTAAAATTATGAGATGCGCTCTAATGAAATAACCTACGGTAAAATCCTGATTGTTTCTAAAATATTACTTAAATTAGAGTTCATTCAATCAGTTAATATTCTTTGGTCAGAAGAAAGAAAAGAGGATGGGGTAGGGGGTTAACCGGGTAATACGTTGTGACAATGCGGGGAGCCGCTCACTGCAATGACGAACACATCACAATAATTTCAGAGACCTTCAAACAAAATGGATCTTTACTTACTTTTCTTGATATCATAGGGTATCACTTCGATGTCAATGTTCGCCTGAAGATTTTCTGCTTCACTAAGAAGTAAGATGTACTTGACAAACTTCTATTATAATAGAAATTCACTTAAAAGAAAAATGTTTCATTGTTCGTAATTGAATAACTTGAAAGTCGCAGTTCATACAACCGCCATTTTCGTGCTCAAATCGTAGGGAATTCTGGGAATGAAAAAAATGTTTATGCATGACCTAATACATAAAACGTTTTGTCGATGGCCAATCAACGAACAGTAGTTGGCGTATTTTTTACGTCATTGCTCATGAATATTCATTGACCCTCCAAAACCGTCGTTCAAATCGGACAAAACCCCAATAATACGTGCCTTCACGGTTGTTTCATCGCAAAGCATGCCGGGACATAATTCTAGTCCATTTTCACCTTCGCCGTGATCAGCTGTCCTGTTGCAAACAACGGGATTCTTATCGAATCAACATCATAATCTTGTACATAGTCCGCTATTCTGCAGTGATTTTCTTCCAATCCAGTATCATTTGTACGGTAAGAAAACCAAAGTTTGTGGTTATTCATTTTTATGACTAATAAAGCTGATAATACGACGTAATGAGAGTGGGCCGAGATCCAACTTTAGTAAATGTAGGCCTAGATCTAGTCCCGTATGTTCAAATGTGTGTGCATTTTAAGTAGACTGATTGTCTTTTAAGCTGCTCAAGTACACTCGTCTCGTGTTTTAGGTAGAAATGTACAGTAATATGAGATTTATGTCTCATGAAATATGAATAGACTTTCTAGATCCTATAATTGATAATGGAATAGGGTCTACTAGAATGGCCGACAGTTAGGCTAGAAAGTGATTGCAATTAGAAATTATAAATGTAAGACTAAGATTAAGAAAGTAAAAGAGGCCATGAAAACGATAGATTTTTTCGATCTGGATCTGAATATAATAGTCTGATATCAATGAGCTCTACTTGAGGATCTACATGACGGGGGCGTACGGAGGATTTTTTCGAGGGGAGGGGGGGGGGGGGGGGGGGGGGTAAAATTTGAAAATCACGCAGTCAATTTCACAACGACTCGGCCAGCCGGTGAATAAGCCGGGGGTGGTAAGAGCACCTTTTTTTTTCCTTCTTTTTTTCCCCGAAAATATGAAATTTGGGAGACCGATATTTGTTCAGTTGGTGGGGGGTAAGGTCACCTTTTTGGGTCACCCTTTAGCACAAAAAATGTTTAATTTATTTTTGTTATTAAAAAAGTGAGGGGGGGGGGGTTCCTCAAAAACACACACACACATAGTCTAAACAAAATTGGAGGAGGGGGGGGGGGTTCAACCCCCGAAACTCCCTCCCCCCTGCATACACGTCTGCTACATGATCTAGTGTTGAAGAAGTGATGAGGGTTCTTTGGTCACAAACTTAAATTTGATTTTCTTTTCCCTTTTATTTATCAGTTGCAGCATCATCGAACACTATGACCCATGAATCAGAAGATAACGTAGATGCTACGAGAGAGCTCATTTCACAATGGACAACAGAAGTGTTACGTGACTTTCTACAAGGAGGGGACTCAAGCTTGGAAATCGAGTACCGGTAGTCATTATTTTATGGGTGTTCTCTGCCTTGACTCTGGGGGTACTGTTCAGCCATCCGAGGTAGAGATAAACTGGACGATGGATGGAGAGGGGGCGGGGGGGGGGGGGGGGGGGGGGGGGGGGGGGGGGGGGGGGGGGAGGGGGGGAGAAAGGCATGCAGACTGCAGAGCTGGTCGTCTACTATGTATAAGACATTTGTGTGTACCTAGTAGATAAGGACCCTCCATCACTAGAGGGAAGAATGAGAGACTACAAAGAGGGAAAGGCATTTAGTTATTTTGCCAGTTTCTGGTTAGGGAGATATTTTTTTTCATCTCGTTGGAGAAAGCTGTCTGTAATTCAAAATCATTTGATACTTGAATAAATTTAGTTCATTTTCTAGACTGTTTCATGTCAAACTGTTGATTCTACTTTCTTGTGAGTATAGTCAGAGAGATAGAGAAGTAACACGAGTAAAGAATGAAAAAGAAGCTAATATTTGAACGAGGAGGAGAAAATGGAGATTACGTTGTTGCCCATAGAGTTGGAATAATTGTTCTTACCACTTTTTATTGAATGATTGTGACCATTTGGTTTATTGTTTGTACATAAAGGTCATATGTTATAAGAACTGTATTGATCAATCTAAAGAGTCTTATAGATTGATTAATACAGTTTTGAGATGATGATGATGATTGTGATGATGAACGAGAAGGAGAAGAGGAGGAACATATCATGAGTTGATGGAGAAAAGATTGATAGAGGGGTTATCATTACAGAGAGAGAGAAAGAGAGATGGACTAACATGAGGAAGGGAGAGCAAGAATGGAGGCTATGACATAGGGGAAGAGATAGAAATCAAAATTATATTTAACTAACATTTACTAAATTAGAATAGTAAATTAGAAGATAAAGCTAAAGGAAGAATGCAAACTAAATTAGCAAAGACCATCCAATATCGTTTTACATTAATAATATAAATTAAGTAAAGTACATGGAAACGTGTACTTTGTAAAAATTTAATCTCTGTTCTCTTAGATCTTTCGCTCTTCACACCTAATTCTTGCTCCCTCCTCTCTATCTCTCCCTCCCTCTCTGTCTCTTTCTCTCTCCTCTCTCCTTATTATCACTCTTTCTCTTTCATTAAGCGTCGACATCTCTTCTCGATGCCTCTCTCTGTTTCTATGATTTTTCTCTCGTTAAATATTTAAAACTCATGTCTGTCTGACCTTCCTCTCTTGAATAAATCATGAATAACTTCAACTCGGCGTCCTACATACAGTATGGATTGCTTTAGTACTCATCTACAACCTTCCTGTTTGTTTTATTTTAATTGATAAATAAATTAACCATGAGATCATACAAGTTAGATCAATATCAACAGGTTTAATGCAATGCATATAGTTGAATCTTATGAAGAAATAGTACCACCCCCGCCCCCCCCCCCCTCCAGGAACAGGAACGGAGGTACCGCATGCGTGTTCCCAAATCTCTGGCTCGTAACAAAGAAAAAGATCTGCCGTATTGACTTTACACACTGGACTTTTGCTGAGAAGGGGGGGGGGGTACCACCTTTATGCAAACACATTTAGGGATCGGTAACTTACTCTCAGATTCTGAAACAAAATCCTGGATTTAGCTCATGCTGCAATGTAAATTAGGTCAGTCAGGAACTCAATGACTTTTACAATCCGATCGCCTGTCTGATTATCAAGATTTTACGATTGGAAATCGAAACCTATTTTGTGTTGCCAAACGTTTCATAACACTACAGTTTTATTGGGGAAAACGAGTATGGTAAAAGGGGTCGAACAAGATTTTTACTTTTTAGAGGCACTTTCTTGATCATTTTGAGGCACAATTTTGCTAGGGCTTCAGTTTAATACAACCTATCACAGACACTGGTAAGCACGTAGGGCCATACGTCCATCTCGGTTTAAAACATTAAACTGCATTTTTACAATCCTTTACAACTAACACCATACAACTTTCTGAATGGTTTGGAATCACAATTACATCAATTTTTCTCCAAACTGTGAGTTTCACCTGTCGTCATTTGATAACCCGAAGGAACCTTTTTTGGGCTAATCTAATTTTTTCACAAGGCAAATAACTATATGCCTTCCCCTTCTTTGTGTCCTTCTCATTATTTTTCCCTCTAGTGATGGAGGGTCCTTATCCATAGGTACTACAAAAATAGTAGGCCAGTTCTGCATGCTTACCCCCACCCCCCCCCCCCAATTCCATCCATTGTCCAGTTCCTCACAGTGTCTCCTCGGATGGCTGAACAGCTCCGCGTCCAGACAGAGAACACCCATCAAATAATGACTACCGGTACTCGATTTCCAAGCTTGAGTCCCCTCCTTGTAGAAAGTCACGTACACTTCTGTTGTCCATTGTGAAATGAGCTCTCTCGTAACATCTTCATGACGTTATCTTCTGTTTCATCGGCCGTGTTCGATGATGCTGCAACTGATAAATATAAGGGAAAAGACAATCATATTAAGTTCGTGACCACAAGAATGATTTGTAACAAAAGAATCCTTATCACTTCTTCAACACGTAGATTGCTCAGTTTGAGCTCATCGATACTCAGATTTATAGCCAGATCCAGATCGACAAATCTATCATTTTTCCCTGGCTCTTTTACTTTTTTACACTTAATTGCAATCACTATCTAAATGTCAGCCATTCTAGTAGACCCTATTCCATTACAATTATAGGATCTAGAAAGTCTATTCATATTTCATGAGACATAATCTCATATTACTGTACATTTCTACCTAAAACACGAGACGGTGTACTTGAGCAGCTTAAAGACAATCAGTCTACTAAAATGCACACACATTTGAACATACGGGACTAGATCTAGGCCTACATTTACTAAAGTTGGATCTCGGGCCCACTCTCATTACGTCGTATTATCATTTATTAGTCATAAAAAATGATGATACCACAACTTTGTTTTCTTACCGTACAAATTACTGGATTGGAAGAAATCACTGCAGAATAGCGGACTATGTACAAGATTATGATGTTGATTCGATAAGAATCCCGTTGTTTGCATATTACAGCTTATCACGCCATGGCGAAGGTGAAAAATGACTAGATTTGTCCCCTGCATGCTTTGCGATTACAACCGTGAAGGACGTATTCATCCCAATGCAAAACCTATGAAATGTCAAAGGTCACGATTTTAGTTGGCCCTCTAGTCCTCCTACGAAGGACATACTGTGTATGATCGACTCTTTTGCTTAGTAGTATGTATCTCTATGTACGCTACCGATAGAAAAGTACAAGTTCCTCGAAATGCATGCCGGACAGGCGTATGAAAATGACGTAATGCTATCGAAATACTATGAATGAATATTCAAAGCAAATGGCGTACGAACGAAGTCTATTATGTAGAGGCTCTGTTTTCCTTGTCTAGGACTGGGACTGTAGTCTGATTTCAAGAAAGGAAAACAATTTCGGGACAGTTCAAAATAATGCTTGGAAATGGAAATTCAAATGATACCGTTTTAAAAACCAGAAAGATATGGTTTGAGGACAAGAAGCAGGATGTAATTCATTGCTCGGCAATCTTGACTGTATTTAAAACAGAGCATCCAATATACCTGATATTTAATAGTACTGTACAATGTCAATTAAATAAAATAACTAAATAAACAAACAAATAATGGACCTCTTTAGCCAAGACTGTGGATTTTTATTGTTGAGCACTAAATGATTCTGCTCGGTCATACAGGCTAGGTGGGGGAATGCTTTCAATAGACTTAAATTTGAAAGGCCCTTTGTATCACTTCGTGCAAAATGACATAGGGCACTTCTAATAAATTTATACGAGAAGTAAAACCCTGTTCATCATTGTTTTCGTGTTGCAAAGTTGTTTACAGACTGAAAAGGGATAGTACGGGACTGTAGAGAGTGAATAAAACTAGGAAATTATAATTGCAAATGTAAAACAACGTTGTAAACCTAGCAATAAGAGGCTCTTGAATGCAGTTTTTTAAATGGACATGGCTTTGGGGCTACCCGCTACCGCCGCCAGGCTACGCTGTCGATTGCCAGCTAGCTGTCGATTGCCAGCTAGCTGTCGATTGCCAGCTAGCTGTCGATTGCCAGCTAGCTGTCGATTGCCAGCTAGCTGTCGATTGCCAGCTAGCTGTCGATTGCCAGCTAGCTGTCGATTGCCAGCTAGATGGGACCCCCCTGGCGATTAATGTGGGGGGGGGGGGGGGGGGGGGGTGATTTTTCAAATTTTCGAGGGCCAAACAAAAAAATAGTGCTCTCTACCCCCCCCCCCCCCTCCCCCTTCCCCCTCTACCACTGAGTGAAATATCGGCCGGCACGATTTTTTTTTATTTCAGCACATTAAATTTCAAATTGATTTCAAGTTTGGGCCCCCCTAAGAAATCCTGAATCCGCGCCGATACCCACCCCCCCCCCCCCCCCAAATAAAAATCCCAAGGCTCCCCTGTAGTTTTTTTCTACATTGCTCCCCCCCCCCCCCGCAAAAGGTCCCTATTTTCTCATTGTTTTACATCAACAACAACAACAACAATAATATTTATTATAAAACTCCAAAATTGGTTTGTTTTTATAAATAATAATATCTGCCCGGCAAAATATTTGAAGTAAGTATGTAGATTAAGATCATCAGACTTTATTACACTGATGAGGTGTATTGGGTTCTCTTCACTTGTCTCTTTCTGGCTCTCTTTCTCTTTCTCTCTCTCTCTCTCTCTCTCTCATTGGGACTGAAAAAGTATTGAATGTAATAATGTTTGATAAATAGATAAAACAGGATTCCTGTCCTTCTTGTACTTCGTAAATATAATACTTTACCTTGCTTACAAGTTAATTGCAAGCTCATTGTATAGATCAATTAAGAGAATAGCAATAAATATGGACTTTGAGTGAGATCAAAATGGGTTTGACATCAGTTTTTCTTTTTCAAAGATTAAAAAAAAAGCAACAGCTGGGTGTCGAACCCGATACCTTCCAGTTACCAGGCGATTGCCTACCCACTAGACTAAAGTGTCACATTGCTAATCTCCATGTTTTTTTTTTTCATACTTATACTTATTGTTGTAGATGTAGCAAAAGAAAAAAACGCAACAGCTGGGGGTCGAAC